AGTATGCCAGAGATTGTGAAGATGGCACAGTTCACATCTTCTCTTCATAGGACTGCTGTGTGTGATACTTGACTCAAAAGCACCTAACAAGAACAGAAATTTATTGCTGATGTAATGTAAAATAATATATGCACTGTGGAAAACAATGTGGTAATTACTCAGTAAAATCACAAATAAAACCATTATATGACCCAGCAATTACACTCCTACATATACCAAAAAGACATGAAAGCAGAGACTCAAGAAAAGACTTTAAAACCCAACACTATTCACAGTAGGAAAAAAACATAAGAAACAACCTAAATGTCCATCAACAAATGAATGAATTAATAAACAAAATATAGTACATATATATGCAAAGAGGTATTATCACAACCAGTAGAAGAAATGAAATCTTGATACAATGTAGATAGAATTTTAAGCCATACTGTTGAGCTGTATAGATAAATCACAAAATGACAAATGGTGTATGACCTAATTAATACAGAAAGTAAAAAATAATCAAAGTTTATTAGTGGTTATTAAATAGAATTGGAGTGGGAAGAGGACTAATGGAGAAAAACAGCATTGATAAAGGATTACACAGTCAATTATTATTCTTTCATTTTCTCCAGAAAGGCAATGATGAAAAATATTTTGATAAATATTTAATCAGTAATAGAATCCTCAATTTACCTTGGCCTATGTGAATGAAAGCAGAAATATAAACAAAGGGGAAGGAAAACCTTGAAAGAGCCCCAGAGACCTCATCAAAGTAAGACACCTGGGTACAATCCCTGGTCTGTCAATCTTTATCAGTGAGAAATAGGCCTCTATCATACTCACCCACTATCAACTTGAGTCTCTGTTACATGCAACTGTTCTATTATGGTAACTGAAATAAAAATTTAAACACAATTGTGGATGACATTAAGGACATCTTCCATGAAGAAAGCCAAAAATCATCACAAGGAGAGAAAAGACCAAAGAGCAACTCAGAAGAGACTTCAATTAGCACTACAACATAGAGAAGCCAAAATAATGATGAGAAATACTGAAGAGAGTTGAAGAGATTTGAAAGTACAGATGGAGAAGACAAAGTAAAGTATAACAGAATATTCTAAGTGCTGGAGTTATAAACCAAAAGGAAGAACACATCTAGCATTTCTCTAGCTGTAAGAACTGGAAAAATAAGTTCAAGGCTTGAGTTGCAATACAGAAGGATGCTATTATTAAAATAGGGAATGATGCACGAAACATCAAAATGATGAAGACACAGAGTTACTGTACCAAAAATAATTGGTTGACAAGGAATCATTTCAGAAAGAAGCATAGGGTCAAAAACTAATAGTAATGAAGGAAAAAGTTCAAGCTGCACTGAAGGCACTGAAAAAAATAATAAGACCTCGAGAATCGATGGGCTATCATTTGAAGTGTTTCAGTAAACAGATTCAAATCCTAGACATACTTATTAGTCTATGCTAACAAGTTTGGAAGACAGCTTAATGGCCAACTGATTGGAAGAAATTAATATTTGACCCCATTTCAAAAATGGATTATTCAACAAGCTGCAGAAATTATAGAGCAATATACACATGCAAATAAAGTCTTGCTGAAGAGTAGTCAAAACCAGCTAGAATGGTACATCAGAAGGGAACTTCCAGAAATTCAGGCTAGATCCAGAAGAGGTTGTGGACTGTGGGCTATCATTACCAATATCAGATTGGTTCTTGAGTGAAAAAGATGATATCGGAGAGATGTTTACTTGTATTTTATTGACCATACAAAGACATCACACTGTGTTGATCATAACAAATTATGGTTAGCATTAAGTAGAATGGGAATCCAAGAACACTTAATTATGCTCATTAGAAATCTATACACAGTTCAAGAAGATGTCTGAACAGAAGAAGGGAACACTGCATGGTTTGGTTTAAAATCAGGAAAGTGTGTGTCAGACTTTTACCCTTTCTCAATACATATTCAATCTATGTTATTGTTATTGTTGTTGTTGTTGTTGTTGTTATGTGCCAGCAAGTTGCTTGCAACTCAGAGCGACCCTATGTACAACAGCCCTGAAACCTGTTCTATCCTGTCTCTGTATCTGACACACCTACCCTCATTATCCCAGTCACTGCATCAAACCATCTCATCGATGGTCTCTCTCTCTTTCTCCATCCCACCACCCTTGCAAGCATAATGTCCCTTTGCAAGGACTGGTCCCTTCTTGCAACATGCCCAAAGTATATCAGACAAAGCCTCAGAATCCTTGTCTCCAAGGGGCAGCCTGCTTCACCCTCTCTAGGACGAACTTGTTTGTTCTCCTGGCAGTCACTGGTATATTCAACACTCTTTTCCAGCACCACAGCTCAAAGGCATCAATTCTCTTCCTATCATATCTAATAATTACCCAGCTCTCTGACACATAGCAAGCAATTGCAAAGACTATGACCTGGATCATGTGCACCTAAATCTCCAGACTGATGCCACTGCTCTTCAGTACTCTGGAGAAGTCCCTAACAGCAGACTTTCTCAATGTAATTTGTCTCTTAATTTTCTGGCTGCTGGTACCAGGAGTTTTGATTGTGGAGCCAAGCAAACTAAAGCCATTAACAATCTCAATCTCTTCATCATCTATTATAATACTGCCAATCAGTCTAGTGGAGAGAATGTTGAGCTTTAATCCATACTGAAGGCTGTAATCCTTGACCTTCTGCAGCAAGGGCTTCAGGTACTTTCCAGTTTCAGTTAGCGGGGTTGAGTCATCTACATAACACAGGTTGTTGATGAATCTTCCTCCAATCCTGATGCCACATTTCTCCTCATACAGCCCAGCCTCCCAGATGATCTGTTCTACATATAGATTGCAAAGGCATGGAGACAAAATACATCCCTGGCATACATTCTTCCCCATTTTGAAAAATGCAGTGTGTCCCTGCTCTATTCTGAAGACTGCCTCCTGGTCCAACTATAGGTTTCATATAAGGACAATCAAATGTTTTGGGATTCCCTTTCTTCTCACAGTCAGTTACAGTTTGTTGTGATCCACACAAACGCCTATACATAGTCAATGAAACACAGATAGACATTCCTCTGGTACTCTCTGCTTTCAGCCAAGATCCATCTAACATTAGCTGTAATATCCCCAGTACCACAGCCTCTTCTAACCCCAGCCTGCACATCCAGCAGTTCTCAGTTGATGTACTACTGCTCCAGTTGTTTTTGGATAATTTTCAACATAATTTTGCTTGCATGTGATATTGATGATATTGTTTGATCATTTCTGCAATCTGTCAGGTTACCCTTCTTTGGAGTGAGAACAAATATTGATCTCTTCCAGTCAGTTGGTGAGGTAGCTGTCCTCCAGATCTCTTGGCACAACTTAGTGAGTGCATCCAGGGCAGCGTCTGTTTGTTGAAATATATCAACTGGTAAGCCATCAATTCCTGGAGCTTTGCAATCTATATGCTGAGGAAATTATTCAAGAAGCTGGACTATATGAAGAAGAATGTAATATCCGGATTGAAAGAAGATTCATCAACATATATTATGCAGATGACACAACCTTGCTTGCAGAGAGTAAAGAAGACTTGAAGCAATTAGTGAAGATCAATGATTGCAACCTTCAGTATGGATCATATCTCAACATCAAGAAAAAAACAAAACCTTACCACTAGATCAGTAGACAACATCATGTCAGATGGAGAAAAGACTGAAGTTGTCCATGACTTCATTTTATTTGGATCAACCAACAATACCCATGGTAGTAGTCGAGAAATCAAAAGACATGTTGTTTTGGGAACATCTGTTGTCAATAACTTCTCCAAAGTGCTAATGAGCAAGGATGTCAGTTTAAAGACTAAGGTGTAACTGATCAAATCCATGATATTTTTAATTGCTTCATATGTACCTAAAGTTGGACAATGAATAAGGATGACAAAAGAATTGATGCCTTTGAATTGTGGTGTTGAAGAAGTGTATTGAAAATACCATTTCAAAAGAAGCCAGTTTGCCCTGGAGGAGGTATAAGCATCATGCTCCTTATAGGCAGTGAAGGTGAAACTCCATCTCACATATTTTGGGCATGTTTGTCAGGAGAGGCCAGTTCTTGGAAAATGATGTCATGCTGGAAGAGAGTCAGATGAAGACAGTAAGAACGGTAGAGATTGTGAGTATGGGGTAGGATATGGCAAGGTTTAGATCTGTTGTTTTTAAGATCCCTGTGAATTGTAGTTGACTCAATGGCACATAACCTCCACAACAACAAATCATAGCAGCAATTACATAACTATCGTTGTTGTTGTTATGTGTCATCGAGTCACCTGCTACTCATAACAACCCTATGCACCATAGCTCTGAACCCTACTCTATTCTGAGCCAGCTTTACTGTATCCAACATACCTATCTCCCCATTATCCCAGTCACTGTGTCAAGTAAACCAAAGGACTCAACCTCTGATAACTTTAAAAAAAAAATCATCTGATCCCTAAGGAAATGGCAAAGCTTTAGGTTGTTGAAGGGGCAATATAAGAACTATAAATTAATGCAGCCACATTTGACACAGAAATAAAACCTACAAATAATAAAGTATTAAAATACTATTACTTAGCTGAACAATAACCTTCCCAATGTGAGAACTGCATCTCCAGCCCCTTTGTTACAGCGTTATATTTATTATATTTACTCTATAACACACTCTTCACCAAGGTGAGCGTTTGGAAGTGTATTAAGGCCTCTTGTAATGTTGAGTTCACATCCCTTACTCTAAGCCACCCATTTATGTGAAATGGAAGTAAACATGCAGAAATTCCCTTGGATCTGAGACTAGGATTTCCCGTAGCACCATCATGTGTGTGGTCAGTTCAGTCACACAGCTGCTAAGAATATCAGCCAATCAGCATCGAGGGGGAATAATAGATTTCCTAAATAAATACGATACCCAAAAACATGCTCTGAAGAATTTCTGAGGCTTGAAGTCCAATAGAGAAGAGACTCAGCAAACTTCCACTGACTCAAGCATGATGAAAACAAGCGGTGTTCTGCTCTTTCTGGGCATCACCTTCCTGCTTCTGATTGGAATTCAAGGTAAGGGGTTCTGAATTAGATTAGGTGAGTGGTCAAACATGTGGCTTTTATATAAACCTGTGGGCTCACAAAGTAAATGTTCTGTGTGCACCAGCACTTGAAGGAAATGACCCACACAAGCTTCTTGTTGATCCAGTGGATTATCCAAAGTTCATGCCTCAAACATGCCAAATCAAACACCAGTCTTCTCAATCCAGGTGTGTAAACCTCTGGCACCTATTGTGTTCAATAAATGTTCGTTGGCCTGAGTGATAATGAGAAGAGAGCCTCTGTCTCCTAAATGGATTTTATCACCCTGGTGTTGTGTGTATGTGCTGACTGATCAAGGATCTGTAATCAGGGAAATTGCCCCTAACCTGTTTCCCCTGCTTGGGGAAAATGGCTTCATCTTTTAAGCCTCAGGTGTTTCATCTTTAAGACAGAGATTTTGAAACTATTCCTTCTCAACCTACCATACAAAATATGGCATAGAGTTGTTGGTGTGCCTTAGAGTCAGAACTGACTCACAGCTGACCCTCCTGTGAGTTTTCAGAAGCAGTGTATCCCACAGGAGAAGATTGCTCAACCTTCTCCTGTGGAACAGCCGGTGGCTCAGAACCCTGTGCCTTTGGGATTGCAGCACAGCTTCTTACCACTAAGCCACTAGAACTCCTTAGGCATATAGTAAGTTTGGGTATAAATATATGGTGAAGGAATATAGACAGTCTTCAGAGGTGTCCAAAAGTTTAAAAGACAATTCAAAAGCAAGGCAATAGGACATGGGAACGGTGAGGAGAGTAGAGGTAATAGATGAGTTAGGGAAAGATTGCTGCTCAAACTAACATCTACTCCGTTGTTGTGTTGTTGTTATTGGATACCATAGAGTGGGAACTGACCCATAGTTGAGCCTCTGGTGGGTTTTCAGAGGCAGTTAATTGCACGGAAAGAGATTGCCCATTTTTCTCCCACAATACCAATTCTACTCCACTAAATTCAGCTACTCGATGGTACCTAGCAACGACGACAACAACAAAGGCTTTGAGAGTTAAGACAGTTATTTGCATCCGCTGTCTAGACTCGAAGTAACTGCAATATTGTTGTTAGGTGCCGTGGAGCCAAGTACAACCCATAGCGACTCTATGAACAACAGTCCGGATCAGTCAAGTTGATTCCAGCTCAGGGTGACCCCATGGGTTATACAGAACTGTTGCAAGGAGTTTGCTTAGCTGTAACCTTTATGCAAGCAGATGGCCAGGTCTTTCCGCAGGCAGCTGGATGAGTTTGAACCCATACCTTTTGGTTACTAGCCGTCCTTCTCTTTCCCCAAGGAAACCTAATAATGAGAAATAGGCGCTGTTTATGCATTGACTTCAACCAAAAGAAGATTCAAGTGCAAGCCTTAAAGGATCTTCAACAATTTGTTCCAAGCCCTTCTTGTGAGAAAATGGAAATCATGTAAGTAAAAAGCAGATCCATTGGGAGGGCCACTATTTAGTGTGAATATTTATTTAACCAAGAGTGCTTGCCCGTCGACCCACTCAAAGATTAGATGCTAAGCCTCTTCGCAAATCTAGTCTGTGTTTTCTTTTCTTTTCTTAGAAAACAAGGAATTTTTCTGATAAATGTTAGAAATCAAGGGTTCCTAATTTTTCTATTACCAAAGCAATACATGTTGAATATAGAAAATGTTTAATGCAGACAAAACCAAAAGAAGAAGAAAAAAATCGCTTGCTTCCTGTGGCAAATAGCATTAATCCCTTGGTATATAATCTTTCAAACCTTCCTTGTTTTACGACACACACACACACACACACACAATTATCTACCATATGGTATTCTGTATGGAGACCTGGTAACCTGTCTATAGCAAGTTGTGCAGCTGATTGAAAGGATGCACTTCTCCAGTGCTTCAAATCCACCAGCAGCTCTGAGGAAGAAAGATAGGCAATCTCTAATTATTATTTCTATCTTTGGAAACTTGATGGAGGGCCTCTGTAAGTAGAATCTGACTCCACTGAAATAGTTCTTTCAGTTTGACTATTTTGTAGTATGTGTTTTCACTAACACTGTATTAATGACCATTTCATTAAATCAGTAAATGTCCACTAACAATGTCATTTTTTATGATAGTGTTATTAGTAGTCAGTTTATAATATATCATGAATATAGCATAATTTTATGTTCAATACAGTATTGTTATAAATGTGACTACTTTCAAAAGTTTATTTTTGAAATCAAACTGTTATTGCTGCAGTATTATGCTTTGATACTTTATTGATACCTTTCTGAAGGTAGAATTACTAGGTTTAATGATATGAATTTTTAAGTTCTTTGATATCTAAATTAAGGAAAACAGAATTTATGTACGTATTGTCAGGTTGTATAGAAATTTTTTCTAACTTTAAATTATTCCTAGAAATTCTGCTATAAGTAATTCTAAAAATTCAACAAGTATCTATCTTCATCCTGTTTTAAGAAAACATTTGATTATATATGAAATGTTTTCATGGAAAAAAAAGTAACAAAATCCGTGCTTATTTTCATTATATCTGAACAAAAAGTTGACAATTTTTTCTGTTTTTATTATTCATTTGAACACAAGTAACTATCTGTAGCAGAACAGAACCAATATTAACCTAGAGATGTAAGTCTCTTTCAGTCTGCATTCATGTTGATCTTTAAATGCAAGCTTGTATTCTGTCCAGCCATTCATCTAAGCCTCATCACTCATTTAGGAGATGAGAAGGCAGGAAAAAGACTAGATGTTTTGCTAAATGTGCTCAGACACATTCTAATTGGGAAACTAAATTCTGGGGATTATATGAAGTATTTATATAATTAACAGAAAAAAATTCCTTTCATTATTTCCTTCTTAGTGCTACACTGAAAAATGGAGATAAAACATGTTTAAACCCAGATTTATCAGATGTGAAAAAATTGGTGAAAGACTGGGAGAAAAAGGTATGTGAAAAAAGAGTAAGCTTTTCTTCTTGGAATTAACTTTGAAAGGCAAATAATCTATGCTGCTCTTTTAAGAGCACATTTTAAATTCATATTATTCTGCTCAAGTTTTCTTTCCTGGAATGATGCTGTTACCTTATAGTAGAATTGTATCCTTACATATATTATCACTTGTCTATCTTTTTCACTAGAATGTGCATTCCCTGGGGGCAAAGAGTTTGTATTGTTTATTCTATACTATAAATCCATGTTGAATAGTAGACATTAAGGATATAAAGGTGATAAAATGTGGTCCTTTCCCTCTGTACCAAATGTGCCAATAATTAATTATGATAAAGTGTGATAAATAAGAAAATAAACGTGCATACAAAAATCATGGCAATTACAAAAGAAGTAACTAGACTGGCATGCAGGAAAATGTGTTCAAGAAGGCTTCTCCTGTGGTCACATTTTACTTGGTCTTGAAGGATCACTAGTTTACCAGGAAGATAATGGCAGCACAAACAAGAGTCGGTTCTTGGCGGTGTGGGGTGGGAAGGGTAGACACATGAAAGAGATTGCTCTGTTTAGGGAGACTCAAGTAACGCATCTGGAGTTGGTGTGGAGGAAGTGAAGAGATTGAAGGGATGTGCTAGTTTGCTAGAGCTGTTTCAACAAATGACCACAAAGTGGATGACATTAAAGAACAACAATTTACCGTTTCACAATTCTGGAGGCAAGAAGACCAAATTCAGAATTCACCAGGACAATCCTCTCTCTTTCTTTTGTGGAGGAAGATTCATCCTTGTCTCTCCCAGCTTCTGATAGCTCCAGGCATTTCTTCATGTTCCTTGGCTCTTACGTGCTTCTTCATATCACGGTCTTCTTGTGTCTATGTCTCTTGGTCTCTTCTATTATATAAGGACACCATATAAGGATAGGCATAGAAGATGAAGACCTACCCACTCTCTGTGATCTCATATTGACAGCTAAAATCTTAAAGACTCTGTTTCCAAGCAAGTTGTTTGTTGTTGTTATGTGCCGTCGAGTCACTTGCCACTCATAGCGACCCTATGTACAACAGCCCTAAACTCTGCTCTGTCCTATGCCAATCACACTGTCTCCAACACACCCATCCCGATTACCCCAGTCACTGAATCAATCCACCTCCTAGAGGGCCATCCCCTCCTGCGCTGTTCCTCCACCCTCCCAAGCATGATGTCCTTCTCCAAGGACTGGTCTCTCCTCACAACATGTCCAAAGTAAGTTAGATGGAGCCTCAGAATCCTTGCCTCCAAGGAGCCTCCCAGTTTAACCCTCTCCAGGATGAATCTGTTTGTTTTCCTAGCAGTCCATGGTACTCTCAATACTCTTCTCCAGAACCACAGCTCAAAGGCATCAATTCTCCTTCTATCCTCCTTAGTCATTGTCCAACTCTCTGGTGCATAACAAGTGATAGCAAAGACCATGGCCTGTATCAGATGCACCTTCGTCTCCAGAGAGACACCGTTACCAGGGGTTATAACTTCAACATAGCGTTATGGAGGTTACAACTCAGTCAAAACTACATGGGAAAGTACCAGGATCATGGTGGAAAGAATCTTTTATGGCATGCTAAAGAGTTGTCACAAAAGGATTATAGAGCATATACATTATTTGGAGTTTGGGTTTTGGAATCTGACAATGTTTCTGCCACATACTGGCTGCTCAAATTTGGAAAGCCACTTTCTCTAAACCTCGGTCTTCTCAGATGTACAACGTGGGTGATGGAAATGCCTACCTCAAGGGAGTGATCAACACTGTTGGAGTGAAGACACAAGAACAGACACAAAGCTGCTGCTTCCTGATCAAATGAACGAAACAGAATCAAAAAGAGTCTCTTTGAGAATATGGCAATTTTGAATCATTTCTGAGAATAGAGAAAAATTACTGTCAGAAGGGTCTAAAGATAAAGAAATAAAAATGTTAAGATAACGAAACATAATCTTTTCTTTCCCCTTTATTCATAGGTCAACCAAAAGCAAAAGCAAAATAAAATCAGGAAATACAAAAAGCCCAAGAAGATGGGAAAAAGTACAAAATCTCAAGGTGCTCATAAGAAGACTACCTAAGAGAACACTTTTACCAACAAGTATTTTGTATTATTGGGATTGCTGGATTTAAAAGAAAAGAAAAAAAAAAGTAATGAAATCATTCCAAATGGAAGAGGCATCTAATCCATGACCTTGTTAATTTTGCTAGAAAAATTCTGAAAGACCGTTGTAAAATTGTAGCTAAAGCTAGAAAGTTGCTTTTAAAATTCAAATGTGAGGAATTGTTAGAGGCTTTGGGGTTTTTTTTGTTGTTGTTTTTTCCTACCCTCAACTGGCTTAATTTTATCATAGTTAAGATCACACTTTCATTAGCACCCAAATCTGGAGAAATGTCCACACAGTCACATCCCACACACAACATCTGTCTGGGACAGCAGCCTTTAACTTGCTGGCCCACATACTTACAGCGTTCTAAGAGTACACATCAGCAAGTCCCAGGAGTCACAAAGTGTAGAGCTCAGATGGACCTCATCGACCTGCCATAGCCATCAGCGTCCAGATTTCACACACAATGTGTCTGAGAGAGAGATCTCTTGTTGCTGAGAAGATCACCAGGCAATCACCAGGCCCTTCAGAACCTTTTGTCTTTCTGAGGTCCCCCCTAATGTGATTCTATTTTACCTGTTCTTGCTACTTTATGCCTTACTTTCCCCCTTGACTTCAATCAAACCAGGTCCTCACTATCCTGTTGTTATTGTTCTGTGCCTTCGAGTCGCCAGCAACCTATAGTGACCCTATGTACAGCAGCTCTGAAGCCCTCCCTGTCCTGAGCCAGTCTCACTGACTCCAACACACCCACCCCCATTGCCCCAGTTACTGTATCTTTCCCTCTCATCGGGGTCTTCCTCTCCTGCTCTGTCCCTCCACTCTTCCAAGCATGATGTCCTTCTCCAAGGACTGGTCTCCCCTGAGCATCTGGCCAGGATGGACCAGTCAGTCCTCACCATCCTACCACCATTCCATTCCTGCCTCTTCTCCATGCATGTCATGCCCTCTCACTCACCTAGATTTATTCCTTTGTCATTCTTTACCAAATCTTTCTAGACTCTTGAGTTATCTTTTTTTTGTTATCTTAAGACTCCTATTTCACTTGATTTCATACCACTTTGCAAGCAGCTAATTAACCATTTAATTTTGATGAGTTTATCTTATCTCTCCAACCAGATTGTCAGCTCCCTCAGATTAGGGCCACACTGTATATTTCTTTCAATCTGTTGAGGGCCAAATGTACTAGGGAACAAGGTTTTGAACAACTTCTTAATTGCAGTTTTCCTGCGTAGGAGGGCAATTAGCCCATTTCTTTAGTGCAAGGGCTGGTTATCAATTACTTCAGACTAACCCCTGATGACCTCTTTTACTCATATCTTTGGGTCAATGTCACTGAAAGAGCCAAGAATGATGCAATATCCTGTTTTGTTTTTTTCTTTCGACAAAGTGTTCATTTGGCCCCAACAAAAGATGAGAATATCCACATGTTTAAAATACATGTGGATATTCTGAGATAGTTTCATAAAATCAAGGATATCTAAAGAATCTCATAATGAGAAAGGATTTTAAAAACCAACCAGCCTCTGACCTTTCTCTATCCAATCGAAAAATCCCTTCATTGCCATTCCTGACAAATCTTAACTTTGTGAGATCTGACCAGATTCTTAAATAATTTTGAAGACTCATTTTAGGTAAATCTAAGTTTTGTGTTCAAGTTAGTTGTTTTAAAATGTGTAAGGAACTGCTGCTATCAATTACTACACCAAGTATCCTGAAGCAAAAGGGCAGTAAAATACCACATTTGGAAGCCTGGCGGGTGCCTACTGAGTCCTGCAGAGCTGGGAACCCCTAAAGAAGGGGTTCAAGGAATTGCATGAGGAAATGAAGTAATTTACTAAGATTTGAACCTATAGATATTTGCACAAGTTTTGTTATTTCTCATTCAAATAGAAGATCATTCTGAGTGCTTCCAAGTGATAATTCCACCTAAACTACTTATCTAATTAATAGACACCAATTCTAGATAGTGAGGGGGCTTTGGTGGCCCAATGAATAAGTTGTTGTTGAGCTGCCAACCTAAAGGTAGATAGTTCAAATTCACCAATTATTCATTTTTAATAGGTAATCCCCTCACGTGTAATTTGCAGTCTCCAAGAAACCATTGAAAGGTCAATCTGAGTCAATTACAATACAATGATAACAGATCAGTTGGTCAGTCAAGAAATTCTTCAAGAAATTTAAATTTCACATAGCACTTAAATCCATGGCCCAATTACTAAACAACATACAGGTAAAGATCATATGTTTTTACTAACTAACTATGATCCACACATATGTATATTATATATTGTAGGTTAAAAGTCTTTTCTAACTCAGTAATTCTCCGCTGGGTTTCCAAAGCTGTAAACATTTAGGGGAGAGATTACCCATCTACAAATAGATATACACACATATTGGTACCCTACAAACTGCTCTGAGTATGAGACGAGGCCAGGTAGTGCTTTACTCTGTTATACACACCTGTTACTTTGAATTGGGGTGGAACCAACTCAAAGGCACCTGATAACAATAACAAGCATTGTAAGAAGCCCTGGTGGCACATGGATTAAGTACTGGACTGCTAACCAAAACTTCAGAAGTTTGAAATTACCTGCTGCTCCAGAGAAAGATGTAGCAGTCTGTTGTCATGGAAACCCTCTGGGACAGTTCTGTCTTGTCCATTAGGATCTCTGCAAGTCAGAACTGACTCAGTGATAACGAGGAGCCCTGGTGGCTAAATGCTGTTGTGAACCAAAAGATCGTCGTTTGAAATCCTCTAGCTGTGATGCTGGAGAAAAAGACATAACATCCTGATCCTGCAAAAACTACATACAGCCTTGGAAACCCCATGGGGCACTTCAACTCTGTCCCATATGGTTGCAATGAGTCACAATCAACTAGACGGCACATAGTAACTAACAACAACATACATTATAATCATGGAACATATCATATAATCATATAACATCATTTACACATGCATAAATGTTTTGTAACAAAATACTGAAATCAGCATTGATATATATACCTTGAACTTTGAAATATTTCTATAACAATTAGTATCAATGAATAAACTTGCTCAGAAAACGAATCTTGGGGTTTTTTTTTCTCCCTTACATCCTTCAACTATTGCATATTTAACAATAATTTTCATGTACCCTCATTCATTCACTATTTAAGCATCCTTCTCAGAGGAAATGCACTAGTAATAGAAATAAAGACACAAAAGACCTCTAAAAGCCTCCTCAGGGATAAAAAAAGACTTTTTTTAATGCAAAATGCAAAAATACTGCTTTATAACAACATTGATTGGCACTCTCTTCCTGTGTGATTCCCTGCCTCTGAAAACCCACTGGTGGGTCGGCTGTGGGTTCCCACTTGAAGGCACACAATAATAACAACAACAATAAACACTTTCTTGTAACATTTATTTCCCATTACTAATAAACTCAGCTGAATGACCAAAAAAAAAAAACCAACAACATTGATTTATAAGAGTTTTGGGGACTCTAATTTCTTTTCTCATTGATTTCACATGCAAGCAAGATTCTACTGAAGATTATCCAAAAACAACTGGAACAGTACATCAGCAGAGAACTGCCAGAAGCCCAGGCTGAGTTTAGAAGGGGTCGTGGTACTAGGGATATTGTAGCTGATGTTAGATGGATCTTAGCTGAAAGCAGAGAATACCAGAAGAATGTCTGTCTGTGTTTCTTTGATTATGCAAAGGCATTTGACTGCATGGATCATAACAAACTGTGGCTGACTCTGAGAAGAATGGGAATCCCTGAACATTTAATCGTGCTAATGCAAAACCTATACTTGGACCAAGAGGCAGTCGTCAGAACAGAGCAGGGCAACACTGCATGGTTCAAAATTGGGAAGGGTGTACGCCAGGGATGTGTCCTATCTCCATACCTTTTCAACCTGTATGCAGAGCAGATTATCTGAGAGGCTGGGCTCTATGAGGAGAAGTGTGGCATTAGGATTGGTGGACGATCTATCAACAATCTGCGTTATGCAGATGACACAACCCTGCTTGCTGAAACTGAGGAGGACCTCATGCACTTACTGCAGAGGGTCAAGGACTGCAACCTTCAGTATGGACTGAGGCTCAATGTCAAGAAGACAAAGATTCTCACCACAGGACCAATCGGTAGCATCAGGATGGATGGCGAAGAGATTGAGATTGTTCACAGCTTCAGTTTGCTCGGCTCCACGGTCAACACTCTTGGCACCAGTAGCCAGGAAATCAAAAAACGTATTGCGATGGAAAGTCTGTGGTTAGGGACCTCTCTAAAGTACTCAAGAGCAACGATGTCTCTCTGGATACTAAGGTGCGCCTGATACAGGCCATGGTTTTTGCAATCACTTGTTATGCATCAGAGAGTTGGACAATGACTAGGGAGGATAGAAGGAGAATTGACGCCTTTGAGCTGTGGTGCTGGAGAAGAGTGTTGAATGTACCATGGACTGCCAAGAAAACAAACAGATTCATCCTAGAGAGGGTTAAACCAGGCTACTCCTTGAAGGCAAGGATTCTGGGGCTTCGTCTGACATACTTTGGACATGTTGTAAGGAGAGACTGGTCTTTAGAGAAGGACATCATGCTGGGTAGAGTAGAGGGACAGCGCAGGAGGGGAAGACCCTCTATGAGGTGGATTGATTCAGTGACGGGGTAATCGGGATGGGTGTGTCAGAGGCAATGCGATTGGCACAGGATAGAGCAGGGTTTAGGGCTGTTGTACATAGGGTCGCTATGACTTGCAAACGACTCGACGGCACATAACAACAACAACAACAACAACAACAACAACAACAACAGCTTTCTTTTCTAGTCCTCAAGAGTCAGTGCCCTTCAAATGAAGTGAACAAGAAACCAAAAATGCCCTAACATGCTTCTGTCTCCTGACGTTATCTTTTAAAATGTTATTAAAAAACCTTGAGTAAATATAATTTAAGTGTAAGGAAAAGTTCTTTCACAGCCCAGA